ACCATCTTCAGCTTCTCTTATATTTAGTATACTGCCTTATAATAATAACTTATTTACATGACTTACTAATCATGATGTCTAATTGCCAGCTCCAAACTCACCTGCCCTGACCATATTTATCTCTCTTTCTTTCTTTCTCTCCCTCCCTCTCTCTCTCTCTCACACACACACATACACACACATACACATGTATATACACACACACACACACAGAAGTCTGCCTTCATTACACATTTGAGTAATCCTAAACTACTATTTTCTTCTCATACCAAGGCAGGAGTCAGCTAAGGGTTAATTGGGGAATCTGAGAAAAACAAATTCTCAAATTATTTTGTAGTCTTAGTGTGTTTTTCCTTTTTCCAGTCTCTACCTCCTTGCCCTTATACTTGACCTTGAGGCAGTAGACAAAGAGATAATTGGAGAAGCTAAGGAAAAAGTTGCAAACTTGACCTTCATATGCATGTGGTAATGTCCAGATGGCTTACATGCCAGATGATCTCAGAACCACACGGAGGGTTGCCGCTCACCAAATAACCACCCCTATAAATATACAGACCTTAACCACATTCAAGTGGCTTTGGTCTCAGCCTGTTGCCAGCTCATATTTTCATAATGAGTATACTTTACTTTCCTGTAATAAACATTTATTTCTTTACTCACTGCTTGTGTGAGCCTCATTCAATTCGTTGTCTGAAGTTCAAAAGAGCTTAGTCATGAACTTTCCACTCTCAACTCCAATGATACTAAATATTTAAATAAAAAAATAGCTATTTCTGTATTTTGAAGATCTGATCTCAAGTCCATCTACCTCTACCGCCAGCATTTTTCATTCTATTCCTACATGACTCCATCTCCTGGACTGCTCAAAATCAATATTCTCAAATTGGTACTTATTTGGGGCTGGTGCTGTGGTGTAGTGAGTAAAGCTACTGCCTGGAGTGTCAGCATCCCATATGGGCACTGGTTGTAGTCCTAGCTGCTCCTCTTCCAATTCAGCTCTCTGCTATGGCCTGGGAGATCAGTAAAAGATGGCCCAAGTGCTTGGGCACCTGCACCATCATGGGAAACCCAGAAGAAGTTCTTGGCTCCTGGCTTCAGATTGGTCCAGCTCTGGTGGTTGCAGTCATTTGGGGAAATGAACCAATGGATGGAAGCTTGCTCTCTCTCTGCATCTGTCTCTCTGTAATTGCCTTCCAATTTTAATTTTTTTTTTGACAGACAGAGTTACACAGTGAGAGAGACAGAGAGAAAGGTCTTCCTTTTCCTTTGGTTCACCCTCCGAATGGCTGCTGTAGCTGGCGCGCTGTGATCTGAAGCCAGGAGCCAGGTGCTTCCTCCTGGTCTCCCATGCAGGTGCAGGGCCCAAGCACCTGGGCCATCCTCCACTGCCTTCCAAGGCCACAGCAGAGAGCTGGACTGGACGAGGAGCAACCGAGACAGAATCCAGTGGCCCAACCGGGAATAGAACCCGGAGTGCCAGCACCACAGGCAGAGGATTAGCCAAGTAAGCCATGGCACCAGCTGTAATTGCCTTTCAAATAAATAATAATAAAATGTTTTCTTAAAAAATTGGTACTTAGGGGCTGGCACTGTGACATAGCAGTTTAAAGCCCTGGCCTGAAGCGCTGGCATCGCATATGGGCACAAGTTCTATTCCCTGCTGCTCCTCTTCCCATCCAGCTCTCTGCTATGGCCTGGGAATGCAGTAAAAGATGGTCCAAGTCCTTGGGTCCCTGTACCTATGTGGGAGACCTGGAAGAAGCTCCTGGCTCCTGGCTCCTGGCTCCTGGCTCCTGATTTCAGATCAGCTCAGCTCCAGCTGTTGTGGCCATCTGTGGAAGACCTCTCTCTCTGTTTCTACCTCTCGCTGTAACTCTTTCAAATAAATAAAATAAATATTTTTTAAAAAATGGTACTTCATAGTTGCCTAACAATAAATCATTTATTTGATTGAATCTTATCATATTGCTGCATAAATATCCTTTAACTTCTTTAGTCATAAATATACATCCCTGATTAAAATTTTATGTTTTCCCATTCTACTCTGATTTTAATGACAACATCTCTAATCTAATTTGTATTTCCAATATGATCCTGAGTAAAGCCTTCCCTTTCCCTAGGCCTTGGTTTCATAATGTATAAAATGAACTCACTCAAAATGAGCACAGAAATGTTCAGTAGGGAGATCTGTGGGTCTGTCACTCCATTGGAATGTGCTAAATTGGAATGAATGTATGGTCAAAACAACTCTGTGAAAGCCAGTTTCTAATTTGACCATCCATCACATCCATCATGAATATCTTTTTTGAAGAGATAATCTTCAAAGCACTAATATTTAAGAAAATCTCTGCCAAGTCTGATCCAGAGAGAACACAACAGAAATTTCAGTGACAACTCACAACAAGGAGTGTATACTTTGTAAAATATTTTGGTAGGATCTTCATAGAAATGTATGACTGCAGCTGCCACAAAAACTCTGATATGCAAAGGAATCTGGTTTCCACAATAGCCCTAAATTACATATCCAGACTGTCAAATTCTGAGCAAAATGAAATTAACACTTTTATAAAAGAAAATTATGTTTCAGTCAAAAAAGGCATAAACTTTCCTTATGAAAAATTTATATTTAAAAAGTTTATTTCCTTATGAAAAGTATAATTACTTTTAAAAACATTTAGTTAAATACCCTACAAATGCCCAGAGGGTTAATGAAAGCAGGAGAAAGATGTATGATTGTCTAGTTTATACTGTGCCCCACCAAACTATACAAGTGCTACCTCTTAATCAAAATGTAAAAAGTAAATTATGTAATATAAAGATTTTTAAACATTAAATAGTGAATAAGGTATCAAGATATTGAGGAGATGATGATATAAATATGGAATTAAAATTATGAAAAAATTTAAATAACAGTTTTGAAGAGACAGGAATCAATGAACATCAAGAGAAGGCAAATGAAGTTATCTAGATGTGTTACATGTTTTACTTATGTTATTTAGTAAAACACATAGCAAATGAAAAAATAAACAGGCAAGCTATTTGTAGTACACCATCAATTGTACTAACGCATGCATCGTGGGATACCCATTATGAGTGGAGAAGGAGAGGCAGAATATTTAGAAAATTATGGCAAAAAATATCCAAATATGACAAAACACAGTTATCTGCCCATGTAAGATAATCAGTGAAGTCTAAGAGGATGGATCATAAAAATCTGCACTAAGAAACATTCTACTAGAGTTAATGTACAAATAAGAATGCACAATCCTAAAAGGAACAAAGAAGTGACTTTCGATTCACCAAACACCTTCAAATAGGATAACAGCTGATTTTTTGTACAAAACAATATCAGTCAGAAGTTAGTGGGTGGCACATTTAAGTCACTGAAAGGGAAACAACCACAGCTATCAGATATGAATTCTGTATTAGATAATGTGACAATTGAAATTGTGTTCCTAGAACGGCCATCAATAAGTGAGAAAAGAAGTTTCTTAGGCTAAAATGAAGGACATTATGCACTAACTAAAATCCATATGAATAAATCAACATCATAGATATTGGTAACAACATAGATATATGTAACAGTCATGCTTTTTGCTTTATGTGTTTACTTATTTTTTCTATGTCAAAGTCCAATGCAAAAAAAAAAAAAGTAATTATAAAGCCATGTTGAGGAGTACAGAATGTTTATGACCTAGTGGTGTTAAAGCTGTATTAGTGGACACATATTTAGTAATGGGACCCGAAGCTTTTGTATGTGGGAAGATTTTTAGTGAATATTTTATTTTTACTTTAATGACTGTCCACAGTTCATTTCTTGATATACAGGAGTAATTTGAAATATTCACGATCCACTGGAATTAAAAAGCAAATTTATTTGATGAAACACTAATTTGAAATCCATGTGTAACTTTTTCATAATATGTGTTTTCCACAAAACATTAAAGATGACCTTCTAAGTAAACTCATTTAATTTCTTCAGTTATCATTCATAATATCTGCCTCTAAGTCACTTATTTTGTAGTAGTCCATGGAAATAGGTTTTCTGGGTACTTTGAGTTGAAAATAATTGGTATTTTAATATAGAGGAAGGAATTAATACAAAATTAAGCTATGTTTGAAGATGGTATGAACAAAAGTAATTTGATGAATCAGAAGGGTTAATACTCAGAACATATAATATTAGGCACTACTATAAGCCACGAAATATTTATGGGCTTAATAATTCAAAGCTCCAAATTAATTACACAGATTCAATAAAAAAGAAAAAAAATATGCTTCCAAATATATCAAGAGAGAAAAATCAACACAGAAATCAGCCATTTTCACTGATTCATTAAAATCTATCTGTATATAAACAACAATGAATGCACTACATGCATATAAATAATGTTAAGTAATTTATTTAAAGTTTGACTAATTAAGCGTACAAAAAAATGGACAACATTATGACAAGGAAGCAAATGATAAAGTTCCTTTTCAGAATTCAGATATAAGTGTTTAAATAAAAAGATATATATATATTATAAAAATCTGTCATTGTTTCTCTCACAACAGAAATCCAGCATATCATAATTTCTTGGCACTCTAATGACAGTAGTAACCATCAAGTAAAATCTAACAAGTGATTTGTACCTACATGTACATTTCATTAAGATTATTTAAGCTAGGGCCGGCGCCGTGGCTCACTTGGTTAATCCTCCACCTGCAGTGCCAGCATCCCATATGGGTGCCAGGTTCTAGTCCCAGTTGCTCCTCTTCCAGGCCAGCTCTCCGCTGTGGCCTGGCAGGGCGGTGGAGGATGGCCCAAGTGCTTGGGCCCCTGCACCCGCATGGGAGACCAGAAGGAAGCACCTGGCTCCTGGCTTTGGATCAGCATAGCTCCTGCCATTGTAGCCATTTGGGGGATTAACCAATGGAAGGAAGACCTTTCTGTCTCTCTTTCTCACTGTCTAACTGTATCTGTCAAATAAAAAAAAGAAAAAGAAATATTAACTCACAATTTAAATAGACTATCCAGAAGGATTATTTTTGTAGAGTTGTGAAAGTGCCAATGAGGAAAAATGATGATTGAAGATAAAATCCTGAATTTGGACAATTAGTTCTTGCCAATATTAGGTTAACGCTATAACAAAACAGTAATTGAGAACATTGTAAGGAAATGTAATAACTCATAAAAATTGTCAAAATATTGTCAGTTTTCTAGTATTAAATTAAGTTCAAATTAAATTTTAATATTAAACTAATCATATTCTACCCATTATCATTAACTTACAGTGATCTGGGGGAGAGGAGTATGTTCCAAATAAAATGAAAAAGGGATTTCTCATGAAACATGATTGTCTACTACAGAAAATCTATGTGAAACATTATCTTGTATACTGTAAATAATTGTGTTTTGGGGGGAAACTGTTATATGTCCAACAACTTATAGTGCAGAAAGTTAAAATAATCAAATGCTGTAAGATTCACCAAAATGTCTAATAAAGTTGGAAGAAATATTTGAGAACCCCCCAAACTAGGAAAGCAAACCAAATAAATTTTTCATGGAAGGAACAAAACTAAGAAACAGATTCTTCATTCATAAAGGACTTATGAAGATGAGAAATCTTTTTGGGGTGTTCAGATTGGAGGGGCAAAAACAATAAAAGAAAACTAACTGCAAACATTCCAAGGTGATATCTCACTATATGAGAAATAATCTTAACTACTTTTTCACACAGAAATAACCTACCAAAATAAAATTTCACATTACATAAGCTTTAGACAGGGGGATTATCTTTAAAACATGTAATTCAATACAATGCAGATGGGAGAATCACAAAATACATGAAAATAACAAGCACCCAAATGAATAAAAAGGCATATTTGGGAAACAGCAAGTAAATTGAGTCTACTTTATATAAAATGTATGTCAAACATTAGACTGAGCCAAAGAAAAAACTACTGAACATAGTTAGTAGAAGTACAATAAAAAGAGAAAATCAATAGAAGTTAAAAATATAAACCTACATATACAAAGGTTAGAATGAAAAGGAATTAAATAATCTAATTGTGTGGATTATATAAAAGATATCAAAGAAGCTAGTCTAAGAATTACTTAGTGTTCAGGTATCCAAAATTGACAAGAAGACACAAATCAGTGAATTCAGAAAAGTGGTAACATCAAAGAAAAGACTTAAATGAGAAAAGGATGATAATCTGCAAAGACATGAGAAAAATCTCCATAGTTTATATATGTGAAAGCAGAAATAACTATTAACAGATCATTGAGAAACTGTCAGTAAAACTAGAATTGGATGCTTAGTTAATATGCTTTCAACAAACAGTAATATGCAGATTACCTTCTGAAGTAAGATCTAAGGATTAGGTAGCAAAAGCAGCTTCATAGATGCCAAGTCTAAAGGAAAAAAATCCTACATTAAGTTTGGAAAGTTTAAGAAGTAATTTCAATACATGGAGACCATTGAACTAAGGGAGGCATTGCCAAAGTAAAAAAAAAAAAAGGTTACAAGTAAAAAGACAAGTAAAATTCTACACATTTAAATTAAAATTAAAATTCCCTAATTTTTTGAATATTTAACAGAGTTAGAATTCAGCTTTTCAGATTTGTTTCATCAACTTGTTAAAATTGTCATATCAATCACATTTTTCAGAGTACCAATTATTCTTTTATCAGAACTAAAAAATATCAAAGGACTGGCCATGGCATACACATTTCCCACAAGTCTCTGGACATCCAGGACAACTGGATCATATTTCCACAATACAGTTGAGAAAGATGACATTGTGATATCCACACAGTACATGATCACAAAGAAACTCACCAGGAGCAGGACAGTATGAGTGGCCCTTTTTGCTGGGGAGGTTCTTGGGGTAACACTTATGCTGTGAAGGTACTCACACCTCCTCTGATGATTAGATAAGAAAATCACCATGTATGCACTGGAGAGTAGCATGATTCCTACAAAGATGTTCTGGGACAATGCAAGTGTGAAAAATATTTCCATGATGATAGAATTCATTGAGGAAAGTGAGCAATACTTACTGACATTGAGTAGTTTGGTCATGTTGGAATGAGCTACAGTGTAGATGATCATGTTACTATTGAAAGAAAGGTTGAGGGACCAAAAACAGAAGAAAGCCTGAGTAATATAATTTGTGAGTCCATGTTTAAATCTTGACATGTAGAAGGTGCTGGGGCTGATGGTGATGACTTGGATGATGCTCAAGAGGGACGTAGTACTGATGGAGAGACCCCTCATCACCCTGACCATATAGAGCAAAACCTTACATTTTAAGTCATTTAGAAAATTCAGTGACTCGAACATATCTGCAACCACATGACATGCATGAATTAATGAGAGGCACATAGCAGAGTTGGTAAAGTCATTGTTGAATTTGCTCCTTAACCCAATCAGCCAATCTGTGTCTGTTAACTGGACAGTTCAGGCCATTAACATTCAATGTGACTAATGATAAGTGGTAACTTTGCCCTGCCATTTGCCAAAGATAAGTTCTAATATATGCTTTGAATTCCCTGTGATCTTTTGCTGTGAGGTTTCCTTCCTTTACCTTCTTTCATATTGATGACCGTGTTCCTGTGTTTCTGTGTGCAACACATCTTTAAGCATCTTTTGCAGGGCTGGATGAGTGGCAACAAATTCTTTCAATTTCTGTTTGCTATGAAAAGTCTTTATTTCACCTTCATTCACAAATGATAGCTTTGCAGGATATAATATTCTGGGCTGGCAGTTGTTCTCTCTTAGTACCTGGGCTATATCTCGCCATTCCCTCCTAGCTTGTAGGGTTTCTGATGAGAAGTCAGCTGTGAGTCTGATTGGAGATCCTCTGAGAGTAATCTGACGTTTCTCTCTTGCACATTTTAGGATCTTTTCTGTATGTTTCACTGTGGAAAGTTTAATTACAACGTGTCGTGGTGAGGATCTCTTTTGGTCGTGTTTATTAGGGGTTCTGTGAGCTTCCTGTACTAGGATTTCTCTGTCCTTCTCCAAACCTGGGAAATTTTCTGCTAATATCTCACTAAAAAGGCCTTCTAATCCTTTCTCCCTCTCCATGCCTTCAGGAACTCCTAGAACCCGAATGTTGGGTTTTTTAATAGTATCCTGAAGATTCCTGACAATATGTTTTAGATTTCTAATTTCCTCTTCTTTTCTTTGGTCTGACTGTATCCTTTCCTGTTCTCTATCTTCTAAGTCCGATATTCTCTCTTCTGCTTCACCCATTCTGTTTGTAAGGCTCTCTAATGTGTTTGTCATTTGATCTATTGAATTCTTCACTTCGTTATGATTTCTCATCACTATCACAGTTTCCTGTTGTACTAGTTGTTTCATTTCATTTTGATTCCTCCTTAATATTTCATTTTCACGAGAGAGATGTTCTATCTTGTCCATTAAGGATTTCTGTAGTTCAAGAATTTGTTTTTGAGAACTTCTTAATGTTCTTATCAATTTTTTTGAGATCTGCTTCTTGCATTTCTTCTATCTCATCATCTTCATAATCTTGAGTTGGGGTGTCTTTTTCATTTGGGGGTGTCATAGTGATTTCTTTGTTTTTATTACCTCGGTTTTTGCATTTGTTATTTGGCATATTGGAGATATTTGGTTTCTTCACTGTGGTGTTTTTTTCTTGTTATACTGTGACTCCAGATTAAGTGGACTGTCTGTTTTTGATGGAGCCTTAGAGGCTTGAGGTGGGTGTGGCTTGAGAGCTCTGTTTGGTGTGCCAAAGGTGACACTCCCAGGTTAGGTGTGGTAGATCTTCCTCTCTCTCTCTCTCTCTCTTTCTTTTTTGATCCAAAAGGGAAGTAATTCTGCACAGCTGAACGAAGTTGGAGGTAGTTAGCAGGCAAATGATATACCCACAGGAGCCAGAGATTGGAAACTCTTTCCCGAGGACCACACAGGGAATCTGTTCTGCCCTCAGAGTGGGCTCAAATTCTCCTTCAGTCTCCCACTGGGTTGCCAAAGTTACGGAATTGTAGCATCTCTGAAGAGTACTCACGTGAATTCTGTGAGTTCTCTCCCGCACTGTCTCTTTTTTCACAGTCTCAGTTCAGTAGCGCCACAAATTTACTAGGTCCTAATCTCCTGTTAATTCGCCCCACCCAGAGTCAGGTTTTTCTGCTAGGCTCAGGGCCGGTGCAAACCTGAGGTCGCTCTGCTTATGACGTATGTCCAAGATGGCGCCTGCTCTTTGTCTTGCTCGCCCTTGAGAGGTGAGCGGAGAGAGAGAAACCCGTGTCCATATCAGTCACTTTTTTTTCTCTCTCTCTCTCTCTTCTAGTTAGCCTGGTGAACTTTTCCCCCCGGGGTCATTCCCTCTAGTCTCCTCTCTCCGCTTGCCTGCTGGTGTCTCGGGCTATTGAGGTTTGGCTCACCTCGCGTTCCAGCGCTGGTGTGTTGAGTCTGCCGCTGGTGTCCCGAACTGTGGGCTCCCACGCTCTCCACGCAGGTCCACTGTGAATCACTCATTCCGGAAGAGTTTCTTCTGCTGTTTCTTCCCCTACTCTTCCTTGAACCTGCAGTATCTCCACTTTTATTAAACTGTCTCTCCCCAGACTATCAGTATGCTCCCTTCCTATTCCGCCATCTTGCCTCCTCTAATTTGCTTCAAAGGCTTAATCAACTAGAGCAAAAGCACTATGTATCATAAATGAATAATTGTTCCATAAACGTGTATCTGGCTGGTGCCGTGGCTCACTAGGCTAATCCTCCACCTTGCAGCACCGGCACACCGGGTTCTAGTGCCTGTCAGGGTGCTGGATTCTGTCCCGGTTGCCCCTCTTCCAGCCCAGCTCTCTGCTATGGCCCAGGAGTGCAGTGGAGGATGGCCCAAGTGCTTGGGCCCTGCACCCTATGGGAGACCAGGAGAAGTACCTGGCTCCTGCCTTCAGATCAGTGCAGTGCATTAGCCGCAGTGCACTGGCTGCTGGCAGCCACTGGAGGGTGAAGCAATGGCAAAAGGAAGACCTTTCTCTCTGTCTCTCTCTCTTACTGTCCACTCTGCCTGTCAAAAACAAAAACAAATAAACAAACAAAAAATGTGTATCTGTACCCATGGAACCAGAAAAAGTACCATGACCATATTGACTAGAAGATGAACTATCTCCACATTTCAAGGATCATAATCAATTCAATTATATATTTAAGCAGTGTATGATATTGGTCCCAGTACTTCTTCCATTCATTTATGAGATTGAGCCATTTCGCACCAGACATATGTGTGTAGAGTATTTAAAATATTTATTTTGGTATATATATATATATATATATATATATATATATATATATATATATATATATATATGTAATTATAGTGTCCTCATACGTTATGAGATGTTTGGTGAAAGAGATAACATAATTACATGAAAGCAAGTAGATAAGGATTTCAATATTTTCTTCTCCTGCCACAGTGATATTTGGCTGATTATCCCTGCCTCATTTCTCTCATTTGGTAAATGCCCACCATGTACTGAAACAGACTTGCTCTATCAGATACTCAATTGTTATTTGTGTCTAATGAGGCTTTTGTTAACATACAGTCTGGGTGAGAAAAAAAAAACATGGCTCCTGTGGATGAGCAATAATAGATGAAATATAATCATTTAGATGATTTCTTTTGAAAATGCACATTAATTCCCTGTATCTAACAACTGATAGCTGTCTGCAACATATATGTGTACTCAAAAATATCATATTATTTGTTTGTATTTTAAAGCTAATTTTGTATCCTATTTTTATGTGAAAATCTGGCAGTTGCATCATGGAAGGATCACTGAAGGTGCAATAATATGTTGTCGACATGTAAGAAAGGGAATAGAAGAGTTTGAAGATGGTCACTTACAGTTTGGTTAGGGTGTAGTCAAGGAGAATTGAGTCCTTTGTTAAACAAAGTAAATACTTAAACATATTAACATACAGCTCCGTTCTCACTGGAAGAACTGAAAATCAGAGATTACTGGGGCTGAGAGTGGAGCCTCTGAGCATTCTCAGAGACAGAAAGTGTGGGCAATGTTCACCTTCTTTATCCTGCCTTTCATCTTATATGTCAAAATATTCACTTCATCTTGGATCATGGTGAGGAAAACACCACAATTAGATGAACCTAGACTTTTTAGCCTTCTCCCCATTAACCCTGAGAGCTGCTCTGGCTGCAACACACTCACCCAGAGCTCCACCTCCTGGAAAGCTACCACCACTGTCCTCTTCTTCCAGGTGGCATCATGCTTACCTATGGGGACCTCATCAGTGACGATGAGATGTTCTATAACATTTGCAAGATGTGCCTGAAGGTGGAGGGGAAGATGGCCAGTGGGCAGAGGGTAACATTGATGATTCCTTCCTTTGCACAAATGCCTCTTCTGAAGGTCCCTAGGGCAAAGATACTGAAAGCACAGTAATCACTGGTGTTGATGTTGCCATGAACCATCACCTGCAGGAAATCAGATTCACAAAAGATTCCTTCAAGAAGCATATTAAAGATTACCTGGAATCAATGAAAGGCAAACTTGAAGAACAGAGACCAGAAAGAGTAAAACCTTGTATGATAGAGGATGCACAACAAATCAAACATATCCTCGCTAATTTCAAAAACTATCAGTTCTATTTGGGTAAAAACATGAATCCACTTGGCATGGTTGCTCTGCTGGTACTACCGTGAGGATGAGATGACCCCATTTATGATTTTCTTTAAGAATGCTTTAGAAATGGAAAAATGTTAACAAAATTGACAACTGCTTTGGATCTATCACTGCTTATCAGAACTGGCTGCTGCTTGTATCCACACAACACCAGGATTTACAGGAAATGGGACTGATATTATCTCGAGACCTTCATTTATTTTGGCTGTGATTTACTTAGAATGAAGGCATTGTTTTTAAGGGAAAAATTGTCTTTTAGGTTGTCTAAAAATTATATGCATTTGAACTAAAAAATATAGATAAATAGACTAGGAACCAAAAGACTAATGATGAAATCTCTGGGCTTAGATTAGGCACGTACATAAAACAGAAGCAGTATGACAAAAAGATGCTGTCTATATAAAATCGAGGGCTACTTGGTACACAAAGTATGTTTTAAAAATATTTACTCAAAAGGCAAAAATATAGACACACACACACACACACACACAGAGGTAGTGAGAGAGCCAGGCATCTCCCATTCACTGGTCACTCCCAGAGATGCCCAAGAAAACTGGCCACAAATAGGAGAGAGGAACTCAATTTCAGTCTCTCATTTGTGTGCCAGGAACCCAGGTACTGGAGCCACTATCTGCTGCTGCCTAGTTGCACCAGAAGCAAGAGGCAGAGGGGTCAGAAGCATATATACAGGACATGAACCAACACACTGAT